ATATTTTACATAATCAATTATTTAATTCAATATTTTATGGCAACAACAGCCAAAACTTCAACGACATTTCATAAGGATATTACGAGAGTCAGAATTCAAAGTAAAACAAAAATTTTAATATTAACTTTATTAAATATCTTGTATTTTTATACATAGAGTGATGAGTTAATAAACATAGCTCAATATTTAACACATGAACTTGATCAAGCAAAGAATGAGAATGAGAAAAAGTTGTTGAAATTGGAGGAGGATTTGCTATATAACCTTGTTGATTATTTGCAAGCCTCCGGCCATCTTCAAATAAACAACAGCAATTAACAAAACAACAATAACAACAACAACAGTATTCGAAGAATTTAATAATCTATCGATTTTTATTCAACATTTGTTATAAAATCTTGAGGATGTGGATATGGGTGTGGGTCCGAAAGTAAGAATATGTTATTTATTTCACTCGAACACCTACATCCAACTTACCCGCCCACAAGCACACCCGCCACACCCACACCCACCCTCTCGTTTAAATGGTGTACCAGATCATTAACTGAAGTTCAACCAGCTAAATAAAATAAAGCAAAGAAAATATTCATCATGAGAGAAGACTTGTTATACACCCTTGTCGATTATTTGCAAGCCTTCGGCCATCTCCAGAACAAACTACAGCAACAGCAATAGCAATTAATAAACAAAAACATGAACGATCAAAAAAAGAAGAAAAAGACAAAATCGGTTTTTTTTATATTTTATGTTCACGATTTTTTTGTGTATCTGCTCTATATTAAATGAAAGACATAGCATTTAAATCAATTTCTTTTTATAAGACTAAAAATAAAATGAAAGAAGTTTTGTATTGAATTATCTATTCGTGATTCGATATTTGATAATCTATTAAGAACAATCTAATGGATTAGAAATTCTTCGATCGATTCAAAATCAAATATGGTCAGATGGAAAAGTTATTTATAGAAAATCATGGGGTGGATTTTGATGGTTTACAAATTGGTTATCTTCAACTTAAAATTATTTTTTTAGTTTAAACTAGGAAATAATATCAGCATATTTAACGAATGATCGTTATAGTAATGATCTTCATCATATACGTGGAT